TCGAGCCCCACATCGGGCTCTCTGCTCAGCGGGGAGCCTGCTTCTCCCTCTCCCACTCCCCCTGCTTGTGTTCCCTCTCTCGCTGTGTTTCTCCCTGTCAAATAAATAAATAAAAAAAAAAAAAAGAAGAACTACGGGAGTTGGTATAGCTACTATGGTTGAGGGCCAACAGTGTCTGTATCAGGTCATGAAAAATCTACACGTACTTGTTCCTTTTTTTTTCAGAAATATTTTGTTACTTTGTAAAGAAATTTCCAAATACCATCATCTCTTCACAAACTGCAGCCAGCTCAGTCAGAGATAAGAGACAACGTTTTCACTATTAAAGCCCAATTCATTATTTTGGCTGAGTATTAATACCCTTAAAAAAAAAACCAAAAACTACCTTCCACTGTGTGTGGCTACCTGTGGGGTTTACCCTATGGCTCTGATCTACATCTGATTACAGCTCAGCAACCAGGAACTGTGTTTTCATATGGCAGCAACAGTTTACTTTCCCAGGGTCAACACCCTGCGATGCAGCTGAAGGTTTCACATGGCCCGAGAGATCATGAACTCTATAAATGTAAATACCTGCTCCCAGATGCTACGTTAACGAACAGGGATGAATGGCTGCAGGCTAACTAAGTGGAGTCATACACTGCACTCATATGAGTCCATGCTCCTATGACCATGTGATGCTTCCATTTTGTAGGCAGTATAAGCTGCTAGTTATGAGGAACCCATGTATTTTTCTTTGAAGGACAACACTATTCTGAGCTTTAATGATAGAAGTACATGGTTTCAACTCTCTGAGAAAGTGCATACAGAGAGGCCTGATAAAATAACAAACGGTGGCCTAAACCAAGTCCAGCTAAGACATACGTGGAGAATCCAGACTCTTTTTTTATCTAGCTATATAACACTACTTGATCTCCATCAGGAATAGGTTAGCCATCAGACCAAGGTGAGCAGTAACTAAATTGATGAGTGTGCTTTTCTTTAAAAATCAAACACAGACTTTATGACATAATTAGGCTTTGTCCATCCTGCAGTTATTCAAGGAAGCTACACTTATTTCAGTGGCATTGGCAGACCTCAAAAGCTGTTTGGGATTCCTTATTTAAAAATGCCTCTCTCAGGGCACCTGGGTGGCTCAGTTGGTTAGGCGACTGCCTTCGGCTCAGGTCATGATCCTGGAGTCCCGGGATCGAGTCCCACATCAGGCTCCCTGCTCGGCGGGGAGTCTGCTTCTCCCTCTGACCCTCCCCCCCTCATGCTCTCTCTCTAATTCTCTCTCTCTCTCAAATAAATAAATAAAATCTTTAAAAAATAAAAATAAAAAAAAATAAAAATGCCTCTCTGACCGGCCTCATTATTCCATTATAACACTTTGTTTTTGACACCCAGTAGTCTTACTCAGCTCTATCACCACCAAGCTCCCTAGTCTTGGCCTTAAATCTCTCTTCAGGTGACTAGGAAGAGTGAGAGGGATAATAAAGGAGAGGGAGAGAGAAAGAAGAAAAAAGAACAAGGGGCTATCAGGGGATCCCCTGTGGTGACAACTATGCCATGGATTGCCAGTTCCTGCAGAACTGCGTGCCCAAGAGCTCAGGAAAGCCAGACTGCTGTGGGGAAAGAAGCAGTGAGAAGAAACAATTGCTTTACTCCCAGGCTTAGAAACAGCCAGGTAGAAACCCAAAAAATCCTTGAACCTGAGGCACCTGGGAAGTAACCACTTTGGCCAGGACCACTGATTAGAGAGGGTTCCTGCAACATGAAAAGGAGGCAAGAGGGCTTCCTCAAGGGCCCCCTGTTAGAGATAGGATTTAGTGACTCAGAGCATCTAAACTCCAGAAGTTGAAGTAGGATGCAAATGGTGTGTATGTATGTGACCTTTTTGCCTTGCCAACAGAAGGTGTTGTGGGTTGAATTGTGTCCATCAAAAAGATATGATCAAGTCCTAACTCCTGATTACTGTGTGTGTGACCTTATTTGGAAAGAGGGCCTTTGCAGATGTAATCAAGTTAGGATGAGGCCATAACTGATTGGAGTAGGCCTAATCCAAAGACTGGTGTCCTTATAAGAAGAGAAAACTTTGGACACATTCACAGGGAGAAGGCCAAGGGAAGGTGAAGGCAGGGATTAGAGTGATGCATCTACAAGCCAAGGAAAGCCCTCGACCACCAGCAGCTGGAAGAGGCGAAGACAGATCTCCCCAAGAGTCTTCAGAGACAGCATGGCCCTGCACACCGAAATTTCAAACTTCCAGCCTCCAGAACTGTGAGAGAATACATTTCTGTTGTTTTGAGTCACCCAGCCTGTGGTAATTTGTTATGGCAGCCCTAGAAAACTAATACAGAAAGGGAGGGAAATGGGCCCAATTCTCCCCAGTTTTAGGGACAGGGAAGGGTAGGATTTATCAGAATGAAATAGGCATGAAACGGAGGAGAGAAAAGAAGTAGGAAGCAGGTCATTCTGCTCTTTTTAGCTTGTGAATAAATCCAAAGAATGAAAACTCTTTATACAGAACTTAACACAGCACCGTGTGTTTGTATTTTTAAATTTATGTTTACAATAAATGATGAGCTTTTGCCCGGGTTGGGCCTTCCACCCCCGGCATTGCCCAAGGTTGTTCTGTGGTCACTGAACACACTGCTGCCTTCCCTCACCACCTTCCACACGGGTTTGCCATCCTCAACTGGCAGGGGTGTGAGAGAGGGCAAGGTTCCTGCCGCATGTCCATCTGGCTCTCACCCTTACCTGTACGGACCCCATACTTCAGGGTGTCTCTGCAGTCAACCAAGATCTGCTCCAGGGACTCGGGGTGGTCTGAGAGCTCCAAGTTGAAGCCCTCCATGCCTTCCAGCAGCTGGTGTGGGTGATGGAAGTCCAACACCTTGGTGGAGCGATCAAACGTCTTGCGGACATAGTTGAGCAGTATGTCTACCACTTCCAGTAGGAACTGCACAGTTTGCTCCTCCCCATTCTTTGCCGGAAGCAGATCTGAGGGGGGAAAGCCAACAAAGGATTATCGCCTGGCCCATGTCTAGGTTTCCTCAGCCCAGAAATCCCAAATACCAGCCATGATATCTTTACAGACCTAATTTACTCCAGGTTATGTATACACATGGAGAATCTGATGTACCGTCTCCCCAGAAAAATGCACATATGCCTACACACAGAGGTTTTGCATACTTTCTGAAGGTTGGCAGACTTTCCGATAGTTAGGCTGCTCATAAACGGAGAGCTCTTAGAAGCCATGAGCAGCTGGTCACTGTTGTTGTCCACTTGTAGGCTGACTGGGCACCTGTCAGGAACGTGATGGAGGAGGCCTCTGCCCTGCTCCCCTGCGACCAGGTGTGTGTGTCTCTCTACATCTGGTTCAGACACTGGCCTTCTGGTTGACCATTATGATACACTTGATCGTTGATGGCAGAGGGTGAGGGTTCTGTGGGTAGAGGCTGAGGTCCCCCCTGCAGAGTGGAGCGGTCCTCTGTAGTGTCTTTAGAAAACAAGAGCTCGAAAGTGGGGCTCAGAAAGGTGGGAAAGGAAACTCCCACATCTCTCCCTCTCGACCTCGTCCTTTGGGCTTGGGCTTTGGGATGTCTGGGGGGTGATTTTGGGTTCCAGCCTCTGGTAGGCAGAGTCAGGCTGGGTTAACCTGGGAGGAAAACTATGGGGGGCCCCAACTGAAGTGGTGAGCCATAGCTCAAGAGCAGATTGGCTTTACATAATGCTCTGTGTAGATTCCCAAGATTATCTCTGAGGTTTAGTGAAGTCTTATCAACTGTTTGGGTCTGGCCTCTATGGCCTGTGGGGAGCTAATGGAAGGGGGCACAGGGGGGTTTACCTTCAAGCTGTTCAGGAGAGATGGGGAAAGCTCCTCCTGAGACAGAGTTGTGGGGACAGAAGTAATAATGAAAGATCTCCAAAAGGAAAATGAGTTTCAGGACAGTACTTGGTCATTAGGCCCAACCACACAGCTTCCCACAGAGTGATTTTGTCATTGTGGCCGACCTTGGAGGTTGAATGCTATTATGGGAATCACTGGATTTTCTTTTATGTAAGATTCCTTTGGATTCTGAGAGTCTATGAAACTGTATTTGTCCCTGCAAGTGTCTTTGGAGTTGACTGTTTTTACTGACTACCCTCATCCAGCTTCCAAAATGATGAAGTCCTAGGCCATAGGGAAGAAGGGAGTATATTATATTTAAATACTGGAAAAATTGTTTCATGACAGTTCAGAAGGAGTAATGATCAATTTGGTCAAAGAAGTAAAATTTTAGGAAAAGGTTAAGAAACCTAAACAAGAAACCTACTGGATAGTACTGGACAGGGCTGGGGAGGGTTGGGGGGTGTGGGGAGGGTAGGGAGGTGGGGACTACCTCGAGCAAACAGGTTGGAGAAGTCGGTCTCTGTGCGCCGGAAACGGCCATCCCTGTCACTGTTTTCACAGGAAAGCAGGTTCTTGGAGGACTGTCTCTCCTTGAAGGCGCTCACAAGCCGGCTCTTCTCTTCCAGGCTGTTGGTCCTCTGCAAGAAGCCTGTAGCACAAGACGCTGGGTCAGAGGGAATGCACGAAATTCCCAGCCTCGGAGGGTCAGCTGCCAGGCCAGTTCCACTGTCCACGCGGGGTTCCTGCTTCTCCTGAGAAGAAGCTGAGCAACTGCATCTTACGTATAAGGGCTGTGGCACTGCTCGCCTTCCGGCGGGGAAGGGGCAGTGCCAAGTGTCATCCCTGGTACAGACCCGGTCATGCAAGAGAGGAAAACAGTAAGCAAAGCCCATTCTCCTCTCTGAACATGACTCTGAACTCAGAATTAAGTCAACTGGACAGCTTCCACTCCAGTGACCAGCCCCAGGATGGGGCTTTAAGGGGAAGGACGCTATCGGGGAGGATGCTGCCGGCACCGGGTTTATGGGCTGTGCAGCCTGAGGAAGGAGGGGGTGAGGACCAGCACTGGGGGTTAGGGAAGGTGCTTTTCTTGGGCATCAGGTAACGCTCACAGGACTGAAGGTAGGTGCAATTTTTCTGACCCAAACCTGAAGTGCAGCTGCCTCCATACCACTCCCTCTCCTTGAACAAAGGTATTGGGGAAAGAGACAAGGAAGCATAAAACCTTATGTGTGGTGACATTTCTTCCTGTAAATACTGACTGAGCATCTGTTGTGGAAAAGCACTTTGCTAAACATCTAGGACAGGGGACAGATAAAGATAAATGAGACAGATCTCCTACCCTCCAGGAACTGACAGTTTGGCAGATGGGAACCCATGTTGTAATAAAGCCAGAAAGCCACCCCAGAACCCCACAGAGCTGAACTCGTGAGCCCGGGGTGGGACACAAAGCACCTCACATCTGCCCCTCGGAAGGAGTAGAAATCTCTCGTACCTGCGGTGAGCAGCACAAATACCACCAGTGGCAAACAGAGAAGCAGGCTGAGGCAGAAGGCCTGGGGACTCTGCCAGCGAGGAGCACACTCCTTGCCTTCGTACCCACACCCATTCCTTCTGGGGCTCAGGACCTGCTGACCCACTCCTTCTCTCAGCATCTCCTCCCATTATGTCTCGATCTTAGCCCAAAATGCAACACACTGAAAAGAAGAAGAAAGTTCTAAGCTTCTCAGTGACCCCAAAGCTGTCTTTGTAGATACCAAGATCCTCGGGGAGTCATGCACATCACAAGACAGGCTTGGAGGAAAGTCCCAGGAGGTTCAAAGAGAGGCAAGTTAATCTGGGGAATTCGGCTTTACTTCCCCAGGACTGCAATTCAGTGGCAAGGGGTGGAGGAAGGAGGGATGCAGGGGAAAGGCTGCAGGGATTGGAATCCTCCCACACACAGGAGCAGGGTCTATTTTCGGAGGGAAGAATAGGAAGGTAGAGGCCCCAGGCCTTTCATTGTTCCCAGCACCTTGTAAACTTATCACTAAAGCCCCAAAGGACATCAGGAGGGGGTAAGACACCATAATAGAGCTCCACACTTGGGTGTAAAGGTGGGGGTTTGTATCCTTTCCCTCACCCTTCCTCCTACTTTCTTCATTTCCCATACAAACCCCAGAGTCCAAAACCAGGAGCCAGCACTCATTTGCCAGAGGCACCTGGTTCCTGAATTCCAAGACTGCTCCCCTAGTCCTGGAAAAGTGAGCTATGGAATTTGCCAGCCTGAAAAGACCAAATCCATGTGGCCTAATGGAGGTAAGGTCCTGCCCTCTGAACTCCTACTCTTTAGGTCTCTGACCTCTGGTTGGCTCTGACTCACTCCTTGGGAAAGCCTTAAGTCTCTACCTCGAAACCCCTTAGGAATGCCTTTCCTCTGGGCAGCGGGCAGGACCTATGACTTCGATTTAGGCTTTGGATATTATCTTCAAATCTGACACAGGCAGTTCCAGAGGTGTCCTGATAGGATGGAGAGATGACAATTATGACACAACTTTAAATCTGCATCTCATCCCTGGACCACACTGCGTGGAGTGCACTAGGAATCAGTATTTCCTATAAATCCTATGTTTATCTTTTGAATAGCATACTTACATTGCATTATAAATTGTGTTTAAACCCATTAATTTGCTAATATAAACACTTAATGCATATTGTTATCAGAATAACAATATCTTGGAAAGTATCTGTTTTTTAAAATATTGGAAGCCTCAAAAAAGATAAATGACCGAGGTCTCTCAAGGTCCTGAGAGGCTCTGGAAAGAAATGTATGCTTCTCGGGTGCCTGGGTGGCTCAGTTGGTTAAGCGACTGCCTTCGGCTCAGGTCATGATCCTGGAGTCCCGGGATCGAGTCCCGCATCGGGCTCC